ATCTCCAGTGTTTAATGCCTGTCATGTAGTGGGTGATCAAGACAAGTTTGTTTACAGCCACCAGTCTAGTCTAGTCTACCATCATCTCACCTGGACCAGTGCACCACCCCCATAACTGACCTCCCTGTTTCATGTCTGGCTGCCTTCAACCCATTCCCCACTCTTCAGAATTATCTTTTGACATTCAAATCTGATCGTCTCATTTTCCTTCTTAACCCCCGCAACTTTTTTTTTTTTTTTTTTTTTTTTTTTTTTTTTGGTGAGACAGAATTTCGCTCTGTCTCCCAGGCTGGAATGCAGTGGTGCAATCTCAGCTCACTGCAACCTACACCTCCCAGGTTCAAGGAATTTTCCTGCCTCAGCCTCCCGAGTACCTGGGATTAAAGGCGCCCACCACTACACCCAGCTAATTTTTTTTTTTTTTTTTTTTGAGACGGAGTTTTGCTCTTGTTACCCAGGCTGGAGTGCAATGGCGCGATCTCGGCTCACCGCAACCTCCGCCTCCTGGGTTCAGGCAATTCTCCTGCCTCAGCCACCTGAGTAGCTGGGATTACAGGCACGCGCCACCATGCCCAGCTAATTTTTTTTGTATTTTTAGTAGAGACGGGGTTTCACCATGTTGACCAGGATGGTCTCGATCTCTTGACCTTGTGATCCACCCGCCTCGGCCTCCCAAAGTGCTGGGATTACAGGCTTGAGCCACCGCGCCCGGCCCAGCAGCTAATTTTTTGTATTTTTACTAGAGACGGGGTTTCACCATGTTGGCCGGGCAGGTCTCGAACCCCTGACCTCAGTGATCCGCCCACCTCGGCCTCCCAAAGTGTTGTGATTACAGGCGTGAGCCACTGCGCCCGGCCGTTAGAATGCTTTGATGGCGCATTTTTGCTCTTCAGATGAAGTCCAAAGTCTTTAACATGACTTGCAAGGTCCCTGCTCTTTGGCCTTGACTACTTTGTCTCTTTTCCCCAGCCACCTTAAACTGCTTTGAGTTTTTAGCTGGAGGTAGTCTCTCACATCGGGGCCTTAGTATATATTTGTTCCTCTACTTGAGACACTCTTTCTCCAACTCGCTTCTTGAGTCTCAGTTTGAGGCTCATTTCCTAGAGGAGACATAGGAGCCCTGACTTCTCAAACTAGGTGAGCTCCTTTACAGTCCAGCTGCAACCTCATCTCTGCTGGAGCGCTTGCTTCCCTCCACCTATTTAGTTTCTTTTAAATTGTATGAATAACTATTTGGTTCCCACCTGTGAAATGAAGTTGTACCATTTAATTAAAGGTTATGAAAATATTTCTGACATGTAGAAAATGTAATCATAAGCTTGTAAACATGAAAGTACTTTGAGTACACTATTGATTTAGGTGCTTTTATGGAGTTATGGTCCCTTTTAAGAATCTGCTGAATGCTTTGGACCCCAGAATAATGCTCATTTGCAAGTACTTTGTATACTTTTTCAAAATTTACAGACAAGGCAGGGTGCAGTGACTCATGTCTGTAATCCCAGCACTTTGAGAGGCCAAGGCAGACAGATCACTTGAGGCCAGGAGTTCCAGACCAGCCTGGCCAATTTAATGAAACCCCGTCCCTACTAAAAATACAAAAAATTAGCTGAGCATGGTGGTACATGCCTGGTAGTAATTCCAACTACTCGGGAGGCTGAGGCAGGAGGATGGCTCGAACCTGGGAGGCAGAGGTTGCAGTGAGCCAAGATCTTGTCACTGCATTTCAGCCTGGGTGACAGAGTGAGACCCTGTCTCAAAAAAAAAAAAAAAAAAAAAATTCACAGACAAGCATTATTCTTGCCCTCTCAACTCTTCAAGGCTGATTTATGCTCATAATTCTGTCGCTTTTCTGTTCTACCTCCTAGAATTTAGTAATCAGCAGCATTCTTTCACCTTTTATCAAATGTGTTTTCTCCTGGACCTTTTCTCTCAGCTTATATAACAGATAACAACTCAAAGCATATCTTTTTCCATAAAGCTTTATTCTACCTAAAAAAAAAAATATTTTTTGGTGCCGTGACTCAGATTCTGCTTTTGAATAACTTTTTTTATATCTATTTTTTAGAGATGGGAGTCTCCCTATGTTGCCCAGGCTAGTCTCGAACTCCTGAGCTCAAGTGATCCTCTAATCTTGGCCTCCTGAAGTCCTGGGATTACAGGCATGAGCCACTGCACCCAACCCTGAATAACTTTTTTAGTATAAATTCTCAGAAATGGTTAAAAAAAATGAACGATTTTTCTGGTTCTTTTGCTACTCATTGCCATAGTTCTTTTTTCTTTTCTTTTTCTTTTTTTTTTTGAGACAGGCTCTGTCACCCAGGTTGGAGTGTAGTAGTACAGTCACAGCTCACTGCAGCCTTAATCTTCTGGGTTCAAGGGATCCTTCCACCTCAGCTTCCTGAGTAGCTGGGACTACAGGTGCACATCACCACACCCAGCTAAATTTTTTGCTTGCTTTTTTTTGTAGAGACGGAGGTTTCCCTGTTGTCCAGGCTGGTCTCCAACTCTTGGCTGGCCTCAAGTGATCCTCCCATCTCGGCCTCCAAATATGCTGGGATTACAGGTGTGAGCCACTGTGACTCGCCTCCATGACACTTTTCATTTCTTTCTTTTTCGTCTGAAGCTCTGTGTAGGACATGACACTTTTCAAAACACTTTCCTAGGCCAGGTATGTGGCTCACGCCTGTAATCTCAGTGAGTTAGGAAGCTGAGGTGGGAGGATTGCTTGAAGCCAGGAGTTTGAGACCGGCTTGGGCAACATAGGAGACCCTATTTGTAATTAAAAAAAAAAAAAACAACAAAAAAAAAAACAGGCAGGGCACGGTGGCTCACACCTGTAATCCCAGCACTTTGGGAGGCCAAGGTGGACAGATCACATGAGGTCAGGAGTTTGAGACCAGCTTGGGAGGCTGAGGCAGGAGAATCATTTGAACCTGGGAGGCAGAGGTTACAGTGAGCTGAGATCACACCACTGCACTCCAGCCTGGGTGACACAGTGAGACTCTGTCTCGGAAACGAACAGTCATTTAATGTCCAGCTCCATGAGGGTAGGGGCTGTGTGTCTTGTTCACTGCTAATATCCCCCATACCAACCACAGTGCCTGATAAAGAGTAGCTACTTAAAGAGTATCTTTAGGCCGGGTGTGATGGCTCACACATGTAATCCCAGCACTTTGGGAGGCTGAGGAGGGCAGATCACAAAGTCAGGAGTTCAAGACCAGCCTGACCAATATGGTGAAACCCCATTTCTACTAAAAATACAAAAATTAGCCAGGCATGGTGGTGCACACCTGTAGTCTCAGCCACATGGGAGGCTGAGGCAGAAGAATCACTTGAACCTGGAAGGCAGAGGTTGCAGTGAGCCAAGATCCCGTCAATGCACTTCAGCCTGGGCAACAGAGCAAGTCTCCGTCTCAAAAAACAAAAAACAAAAAACAAAACAAAACAAAAAACCTTTAAATGGATTAATGAATGTGAATAAAAACCATTAACTCAGAATTTATTCTTGCATCTGTTCTTAGGATTAGCCCAAATTCGAATCGTATCAATAAAAATCATTTGGCCTAGCTTTGCACAGTGGCAGTATTGTAGCCAATGAGGTTTATCCAAGGTGTGATTATTGCTAATTGAAAACTTTTCCCAATACCCCACCATGATGACTTGAAATATAGTCAGAGTTGGCAATTTTTGACAGTCTCTACAGAGACTGAAAAAAAAAAAATCATTTGGCCTAACTGGCCTCCCTGCCTCTTGTCTTCCATCTCCCTGTGATCCAACCTATAGCCCAAGACAGTAACACTATAAAAACAAACAAACAAACAAGAAAAAACCAAGTCTGATTGTGTTCTCTTCCCAAATCTCTGCTGTCTCTCCCACTGCCTACAGAATACAGTCAATGCTCCTCAGCTTGGAATCAAGGCTTTGGCTCCAATCTCTCTCTCTCTCTTTTTTTCTTTTTTTTTTGAGATGGAGTCTCACTCTGCCGCCCAGGCTGGAGTGCAGTGGCACAATCTCAGCTGACTGCAACCTCTGCCTCCCAGGTTCAAGCGATTCTCCTGCCTCAGCCTCCCGAGTATCTGGGACTACAGGCAAGTGTCACCATGCCCAGCTAAGTTTTGTATTTTTAGTAGAGATGAGGTTTTACCATATCGGTCAGGCTGGTCTAGGACTCCTGACCTCATGATCCGCCCACCTCTGCCTCCCAAAGTGCTGGGATTACAGGTGTGAGCCACGGCCCCCGGCCCCCAGTCTCTCTTTGTAAACCTCCCTAGGCTTATTTATTAAGCGCTTATCATATGCCAAGCACTAGGCTAGTCACTGAGTTCATAAACCAGTTGGAAAGACAGGTACAGTGACTAATTTTAATAAGGCATGATCAGCGCTATTACACAGTCTGTGAGAACACAGATAGTTTCAGGGAATTGATAAAATATGTTTTCGCCCCCTGCAGGTTCACGAGTTCAGTCTACAACAGCTATGTCCAATACGGTCATTAGCTACGTTTCAAGTGTCCAACAGTCACATGAGGCTAGTGTGTATCTATTGCACTGGATAGCAGAGCACAGATGATTTTTATCATCCATAGAAGAGGGGGTTAACTATAGCTGCTTCCAAGACAGCAAGGAACATTTTCCATACGTGAAGTCTGTGGTACTAGCTACCAATCCCCCAAACCCGACCCCTCTCCCTCACACCTTGGCTCTGATATATTTTGTAGTACAGGCTCCTAAGAGAAAGAATGCATGAAAGTACCCGGTAAACATTAAGTGATATAGAAATGTGATATAATAAGCAGGCTCAGAGTTCTTTCTTTCATCATAGCTTTGGTTACTTCGAGCAAATTCTAACTCTCTTCTCAAACTACTCCCATCTCTATAATTTATGCCGAAGTGTTCTAGGGCTAAAAAATCCCGATTATACCTACCTTGAAGCTTTTAATCCAGGACCCTACTTCACCACCCGCCTTCTGTCACTTTCTCTAAAAGGACACGAATTAAGACTTCCAAAAGAACAAAATATTTATTTTTTAAATTTAAGAATTACGGGAAGCCTAAGTAATGGGAATTGGATCCTCATCGGGGTCTTCTGGGAAGTCGGAAGCACCACCCTCTCCTGTAGCACGATGCTTCTCTAGTTTAGCAATCAATTCTTTCGCTGGATTGAAGACGCCATTGGTCTGCTGGTCACAGACAAAGCAGCGCGGGGTGGTGCGGAAATGCTGCAGTGCACATCTCTCGCAGAAATAATGCCTGCACTTGGTGACAACTGGGTTTTGGAAGCTCTGGCGACAGATGAAACATTTGAATGGTATTTCCTCATCATCGCTTCCCACTTCATAGTTTTCATCCTCATAGACACCATAGCGACCCTCATCAAGCTCACGTTCGATCTGCCACCCATGCTTGTAATCTGAACGGTCATGGAGGAATTTGCAGCTGTCTCCGAAGCCGCAGAAGCCAGTCTCTTTGTAGTCCTTACAGATGTCGGGCTGGTAATCCCAGCGCACGGTGGCACGTAGATGCTCGGGCGCTCGGATGGGGCCCTTCCTCACCATCCCGGAAGAGGCATTGCCCATAGACGTATCCTTGGGCTTCATGTATTTCTGATAATTGTTGATTCCCCGATAGATCTTGTCATCCTCCTTGCCCCTCAGCTCCTCCTGGATCTTCTGGCTGCGCTCAAAGATGGATTGTGCATCGCGCTCTTTCTCTGTGTCCAGCTCATAGACAGCTGTTGCCCCCATATCCTCTGGTCCCACGGGTTTCGCCGAGCGGGTGGATTTATAAACCACGCCGAGACTCTCGGGCTCATTTTCCACCTCCTCCTCGCTGCTCAAGTTGCCGTAAGCCGCCTTCTGTCTACCACTGTCACGGGTCTTCTGTATCATTGGATTGTGGGTCGTCCGCTTCTTTTCCGGTCGAACCACAGTGCAGCCTTCGTCGCTACTGCTGCTGCTTTCTCCAGGCTCTGGGTCGCAGGCCGGGCGCTTTCTGCGTCCGGCAGCCCCTTTCCGCCCAGGCTTTTTGAAAAGGAAGGTGCACACCTGATCCACCGTCTTTCCTGGAGAAAGCTGCTCTGCCATTTTACAGTCCCGAGCTCCGAAACGGCCGTGGCTGCCTGGGTAGCACTTGGTCTCCGCACGTCACTCCACGTTGCGCGCTCCGCCGCTAGTCAAAGCAAAAGTCTGTGACGGAAGAGGACTGCGAGTACGCGAGCGCTAGCCTCTCTTGAGCCCTGGAGGATTCCGTCGCTTCCTCCGGAGCCGTACGTGGCACCGCCCCGCTCGCAGGCGGCCGCGGGGCTTACTGGGAAGATAGCCGAAGATCCGTCACCTTTCAAGGACGTAGAAATAGGGTTTTGGCCTAGGTAACCGGGCAGAGATGTGGTTCGAGATACTCCCTGGACTCTCCGCCATGGCTGTGTGCTTGCTTATTCCAGGACTGTCTACTACGTACATCCACAGGCTGACTAACGGCGGCAAGGTAAGGCGGCTTGAGGGTCCGGGAGCCGACTCCACGGGCTGATTTCCGTAAAGGGGGCAGGGAGGCAGTCAGCTTGCGGACTCTCTCTCCGAGGTCGGCCTTCTCCTTTCTTAGGGTTGCCTAGAAGCTGAGGCTTGCGAAACGAAGCTTGGTAGAAAATACATCCTGCTCTAGTGAAAACCAGCGTTTCAGGGTGGATCAGACTGGACCTCAGGGCTGAGTAGCGACTTGGGGCCCGGAAAGGTAAATTAGAAGAGTTGGCATAAGCCAGTAATCCAGCACTGTGGGAGGCCGAGGCGGGCGGATCACCTGAAGTCGGTAGATCAAGACCAGCCTGACCAACATGGTGAAACCCCGTCTCTACTAAAAATACAAAATCAGCCGGGTGTGGTGGCGCATACCTGTAATCCCAGTTATTCGGGAGGCTGAGGCAGGAGAATCGCTTGAACCCGTGAGGTGAAGGTTGCAGTGAGCCGAGATCGCAGCATTGCACTCCAGCCTGGGCAACAATCACGAAACTCCGTTTCAAAAAAAAAAAAAAAACAGAGATTCTTTTGCCTCACCCTCCCGAGTAGCTGGGACTACAGGCGCGTGCCACCACGGCCGGCTAATTTTTATTTTTGTTTGTATTTTTAGTAGAGGCGGGGTTTCATCATATTGGCGAGGCTGGTCTTGGACTCCTGACCTCAGGTGATCCACCCATCTTGACCTCCCAAAGTGCTGGAATTACAGGCGTGAGCTCCTGCCTACCCCTAACTTTTTTATTTCCCACTTTTTGTTGCAAGCCTTTAGGAATTTACTGCAAGATCTTGTTATTTTGTTTTATTATTTTATCTTTTTGTAGAGACGGGGTTTCTCCATGTTGGTTAGGCTGGTCTCAAACTCCTGACGTCAGGGGATCTGCCTGCCTCGGCCTCTCAAAGTGCTGGGATTACAGGCGGGAGCCACTGTGCCCGGCCAAGATCTAGTTTTTTACATCGGGATTCATTTTCCCCTCTTCTAGCCCTTCACATCGTCTCTAGTACAGAGTATAAATATATTTACATTCTGGTTTTGTGATTGTCCTCCTTCACCTGAGTTTCTTAGTGTTAGAAAGGCGTCCAACACTAGACATTTCTTTACTAGACATTTCGTAAAAAAAAAAAAAAAATTAATGTTGGTTAAGATAGTGTAAGAAGTCATGGTCACCAACTTAATTCTAAAGTTTAGTGGTCTGATTTTATTTAGGAGATTGTGGTCTTGTATTATTAATTTCTCTAGAATGTCTCCTTTAAAAATCGAAATACCCATCAATTGGATCACTCACTTTTATAAACTGCAATGTCAATTCTCTCTTATTTGAAGGAAAAAAGGATTGCTCATGTTTTGTATCCATGGAATTTGATGGAAAGAGATAGGCGCATCTCTGGAGTTGATCTTTACTATAAGTCAAAGGTAAGATGCCATTCTGATGCCATCCTTCTGCCAGGGTTGAGGTGGGTTCTGGTAATACCTTGCCAAGGGTCATACAGTGCTAATAACTAGCATTTTCTTATTTACTAGTGAGGTTGGCATCTTTTTACATATTTAATCTTTTTTTTTTTAGTCTTTCTTACTGTCATATATTTCTTACTCTGTGGATTGTTGCCTATATCCTTTGCCTGTTCTATTGTTTGTCTTTTTCTTTTTGATCTATAGTTCTTTATATATTCTAGACTTTAATTTTTTGTCTATTTTATATTTGACAAAACATTTTTCCCAGTCTGCTGTTTGTCTTTTGCACTGTATGATTTTTTTTATCAGGTAGTTTTAAATTTTGATATTTAATTTATCATGTTTTGTTCTGGATTCTGGGTTTTTATGTCTCCCATACAAAGGCCTTTTCTATCCAAGATCATAAAAATACTTTGAAAAAATAAAATAGAGACAGTCTTGCTGTGTTGCCCAGGCTGGCCTCAAACTCATAGGCTCAAGTGATCTTCTTGCCTCAGCCTTTGGAGGAGTTGGGACTGCAGGTATGCCACTATGCCTGGCTCATAAAAATACTTAAAAAAAATTTCTCCTAATATTGTTTCTTTTTTCTTTTCTTTTTTTTTTTTTTAAACATTTAGTTATTTGGTCCACCTACAGATCATTTTGGAGTATAATGTGAAGGAGGGATTAACTTTACTTTTTTCCAAGAAGTAGCCAGTTATTGCAGTTACACATTTATAGAATGGTTTAGTAGTCCTAGCTACTCGGAAGGCTAAGGCAGGAGGACAGTTTGAACCCAGGGGTTTGGTGCTGCAGTGAGCTAGGATCACACCACTGCACTCCAGCCTGGGTGAGAGAATGAGCCTGTCTCAAAAAACAAACACACAAACAAACAAACAAAAAAACTACCACCAAACACCCAGTTCATCTTTATTTGTAATACCATTCTAGTAAACTAAATTTCCATGTACACATGGGCCTGTTTCACAGAGGTGCTTTTCTGTACTCTATAGGTCTGTCTATTCCTGCAACAATACCTCATTTAAATAATTACTATAATTTTATATTTGATTCAGTTATGACATTGCCAGTTTTGTAGGTCAGAAATGGCCAAGCAGTAGCATTTTCATAAGGCTCAACCTAATAGTATGTTTTTTGGGTTTTTTTGTTTGTTTGTTTGTTTGTTTGTTTGTTTTGGGGTTTTTTTTTTTTTTTTTTGAGATGTGGTCTCACTCTGTCACCCAGGCTGGAGTGCAGTGGTGCACTCTTGGCTCACTGCAACCTCTGCCTCCCAGGTTTAAATGATTATTCTGCCTCAGTCTCCTGAGTAGCTGGAATTACAGGCACCCACCACCATGCCCAGCTAAATTTTTTTTTTTATGTATTTTGGTAGAGATGGAGTTTCACCATGTTGTCCACGCTGGTCTCTTAACTCCTGACCTCAAGTGAGCCACCTGCCTTGGCCTCCCAAAGTGTTAGGATTACGGATGTGAGCCCCTGCGCCTGGCCCTAATAGTATATTTTTATATTTTGTAGGAGTAGTTCATTATCAGAATTCTTTTCAAAATGTTTACTTTTTAATATTTTCTCCTTGCTCATTTATTCTTCACAGCAAACCTAAGTCAATAGTATTTCCATTTTATAGACAAGAGTCAGAGTGATTAAATAATATTATAGGGACTCAGCCTGGGTGATATACCTCTCAGTGGAGGGGTAGTTGGAAATCTAATCTAATTAACATGATAATAATCTTATCTGGAGCCATATTTTCAAGAATAGCCATCAGAATCACCTGGCATGTGAGACAGAATTAGGATTTCTAAGAGACAGCTCCAAGGAAGTTGCAGTTTTAATTTATCTTAAGGCAGTTCTTCATGTAATAGTACACCAAATACCTGGACTATGTTATTTAATACTTAGAAGAAGTGTCACCAATGATTAACCTTTTAACTTATAGCTTCTGAAGTATTTGTTTGTGAACTTAGTAAGACCCAATAGGTATTTTGAATAAATAGTGTAGTGCTTGTCGGAGAAGGGCTCTGGATTTGGGGTCCCTGGACTTGAATTCTGGCTCTGCTAATTCCTTATGGACTTAAGCAGATGACTTTTAACCTCTCTGAGCCTCCATCTCCTCATTTGTAAAAAAGTGGAATGAAGCTGGGCGCGGTGGCTCAAGCCTGTAATCCCAGCACTTTGGGAGGCTGAGGCGGGTGGATCACGAGGTCAAGAGATCAAGACCATCCTGGTCAACATGGTGAAACCCCGTCTCTACTAAAAATACAAAACATTAGCTGGGCATGGTGGCGCGTGCCTGTAATCCCAGCTACTCAGGAGGCTGAGGCAGGAGAATTGCCTGAACCAGGAGGCGGAGGTTGCGGTGAACCGAGATTGTGCCATTGCATTCCAGCCTGGGTAACAAGAGCGAAACTCCGTCTCAAAAAAAAAAACAAAAACAAAAACAAAAAAGTGGAATGAGGAGAACAGTATCTGTTGGCTGTTATTTTTTAAAACAGATTTTACCTTCTGGTCGTCTGACTCACTGAGGTGCTTTGTAAAAGGATCCACGTGGAGGCTAAGCATGGTGGCTCACGCCTGTAATCCTAGCACTTTGTGAGGCCAAGGCTGGTGGATCACCTGAGGTCAGGAGTTCAAGACCAGCCTGACCAACCTGGCAAAAACCCGTCTCTGCTAAAAATACAAAAATCAGCTGGGTGTGGTGGCACATGCCTGTGATCCCAGCTACTCGGGAGGCTGAGGAAGGAGAATCACTTGAACCTGGGAAGTGGAGGTTGCAGTGAGCTGAGATTGTGCCACTGCACTCCAGCCTGTGAGATGGGAGCGAGATTCCAACTCAAAAAAAAAAAAGGATCCAGGTGGTAGAGTTGCGTGACTTTAGTTCTGATTGGGGGTGGGGGAAGATTTTTGTTTTCCTATAAAGCAGTATGTTTGCTGCTGTCAGAAAATGAAAACTAGACATCATTACAGGTTATTCCTTAGTGATTATAAAATTTAATCCAGTGTATTGTTGCAGTTAAAGAAATGTGGGATGTGGAAGCACTCTTTTTAATAAGAGAATGCCATTTGGTGACATGAAATAAAAGCATATGACATGTCTTTGTTAGGAACAGACTTCTCACATTCTCCTTTTTAAACTGTTTTTCAGGGTTTGGAGAATATTGATTAAAGAAGCATTTTCCTGATTGATGAAAAAATAACTCAGTTATGGTCATCTACCCCTGCTAGAAGATCATACAGTATATTATGTAGCATGCAGTGTGTTATGTAGTGCTTAATAAAAATAAAATGAAAAAAAAATCAAAGGCATTTATTTTTTAAAACATACTACACAAAATCAAGCCGTCTACCCAGTGTAGTCTTTATCCTTAAAAAAACTAGAAGGCAACTGTGAGGCTTGTATAATTACAGACATAATGTACATCAAGCACCTATCTCTGTGCCTAGCATCTAATACTTCAAAAATTGTAGTTGCTACCATTGTAATAGATACTAGTATATTTAACTTTATTTATTTACTTTTTGTACAGAGTCTTGCTCTGTTGCCCAGGCTGGAGTGCAGGGGCACCATCTTAGCTCACTGCAACCTGCACTTCCTGGGTTCAAGTGATTGTCCTACCTCAGCCTCCTGAGTAGCTGGGATTACAGGCACACACCACTGTGCCCGGCTAATTTTTTTATTTTTTAGTAGAGACAGGGTTTTACCATGTTGGCCAGGCTGGTCTCGAATTCCTGACCTCAAATGATCCACCTGCCTTGGCATCCCAAAGTGCTGGGATCACAGACGTGAGCCATTGTGCCCAGCTGACACTAGTAAATTTT